GAGTCTATTGAGGCCATTGAAGATTACGTTTGATTGCTCCTTTTCTTTTTCACGGTTTAAATTGATTAAATTTTGTAGGAATTCTGTATTGACTCTGAAAATGGGTCTTCTGCTGAAATTAGTTTTTGTAGTTTTAGAAAGATGGAATTTTGGATGAGATTGGTTGGTTCTATAATTTTAGCTCAGATTGACTTTCATGAATATTCTATGTTGTGAAATGTTAATGCTTGCATGTCGGAAAAAATTGAGGAACTAAGTGGTCTGCCTGAATGCTTGATGCGGGATTTTAATCACCTTGAATTGTGGTTTCTTGTCATATCAACCAACATTCTTGGATTATTGTGGTTTCTTTATATCATTGTTCTTTGATGCATTATTTAATTATATATTGAGATTACAATGGTTCACTGATTTCATTCTTTTCATATCTAGACTGGACACTGGATCTTAGCTTGACTACAATTGGGTTGATGATAAGAAAATGATGTCTGAAGATGCTGGACAGATGTTGGTCGTGTACGATGATCCTTCAGATCAACGATCGTTGTCTTTAGATGAAACCAGTAGCACAGAGGAATCACCTGATGAAACCCGGCTTTCCCTAGAAACTACTAATGATGCCATTCCATATATCGGGCAGAGATTTGCTACTCATGATGCAGCTTATGAATTTTATAGTGAATTTGCAAAGCGATGTGGCTTTTCAATCCGTCGTCATCGCACAGAAGGAAAAGATGGGGTTGGCAAAGGACTTACAAGACGTTACTTTGTCTGTCATCGTGCTGGCAATACACCTCTCAAAACCTCAAATGATGGTAAACCCCAGAGAAACAGAAAATCATCCCGATGTGGATGTCAAGCTTACTTGCGGATAAGCAAAGTAACAGATTTAGGACCAGCAGAATGGCGTGTCACGGGGTTTGTGAACCACCACAATCATGAACTTTTAGAACCAAATCAAGTTCGTTTCCTTCCTGCATACCGGACCATATCAGATACAGATAAGAGCCGAATCCTTATGTTTGCAAAAACAGGAATCTCAGTGCAGCAAATGATGAGGCTGATGGAACTTGAGAAGTGTGTGGAGCCAGGATATCTACCTTTCACTGAGAAGGATGTGAGAAATTTACTTCAATCGTTCAGGAAATTAGATCAAGAAGATGAAAGCATAGATTTATTAAGAATGTGCAAAAACATAAAGGAGAAGGACTCCAACTTCAAATTTGAGTATACACTTGATTCAAACAGCAGGTTAGAGAACATTGCCTGGTCATATGCATCATCAGTCCAGTCATATGATATCTTTGGTGATGCCGTGGTGTTTGACACGACTCATCGTTTGACTGCATTTGACATGCCACTTGGGATATGGGTTGGAATGAATAATTATGGCATGCCTTGCTTCTTTGGCTGTGTGCTTTTACGAGAAGAAAATTTGAGGTCATTGTCATGGGCATTAAAGGTAATAGAATATTATATAGCTTTTTTAAGTCTATCATATTTTATTGCTTTTAGTTGCCAGTTTTGCTTGAATCCGACAAGTTTGCGCCCTTTGCCCTTTTGACATTGCTGAAAGCAAAAAGGCAGGAGGAAGGGATGGTGGGAAATATGTATCCTGGGAACTGAATGATTCAATATCTGGGATAGATAGCTGGTGGTTTTAGTGAATATGGTAGATACACAAGATGATGACTTTTAATCATCTTTGTTATTATAGAGGATTCTTCTGTATGGAGTGTCTACAGTATCAATAACACATTGTGGTTTACTGAGTTGATACGATTTAGGGCCAACTGTTGTTTTGTAATGCTAGGCAGTACATTTGAGCATGAACTCTGTGCAAGGGAAAAGAAAAAGAGGATGGGATGCAAGAACATAATTTCTTTTTTTTTTTTCTGTGAAAAGTGTCCCATATACAGAAGATAATTGGCAAACCTCTAGAACATATATGCTTCAATCTTTGTCCTTATATGCATGGTGGTTCTCAAATTTTCTAGTTTTCTTTTTTCTCAGTTTTGGTTTTTATTTTATGATTCTCTTTCTTCTTTTTGGTTTTTTGTTGGGGCTCGCTAAACTAGTATCTTTCTTTTTTTTCCACACATGAAAGGCATTCTTAGGGTTCATGGATGGGAAGGCACCACAGACAATATTAACTGACCAAAATATGTGTCTCAAAGAAGCCATAGCCATTGAAATGCCTACAACTAAATATGCACTCTGCATATGGATGATTGTGGCAAAATTTCCATCCTGGTTTAATGCTGTTTTGGGAGAACGTTACAACGAGTGGAAGGCTGAGTTTTATCGACTCTACAATTTAGAGTCAATTGAGGATTTTGAATTGGGCTGGAGGGACATGGTCGACTCTTTTGGGCTACACACTAACAGGCATATTGCCAACTTGTTTGCATTACGCTCGTTGTGGGCTTTGCCGTACTTGGGAAGCCATTTCTTTGCAGGAATGACAACAACTGGCCACTCAAAGGCAATTAATGCTTTCATTCAAAGATTTTTAAGTGCACAGACTCGGCTTGCCCATTTTGTTGAACAAGTATGCTCTTTCTTTCTTTACTTTTATTCAAATTCAATTGTGTGAGTGTTTTATTGAAACATATTGACTCATGATTCCTGTAGTAAGTGCATCTAGACTTTCTGTTTTAGTTGTACCTCTCTGAAGATCTAGGAAAGAAATGATCTTGTAAAGGTGGCAGAATATGATGATTAAATGGTAGTAAATAGTAGTTAATTAGGCTTGTAAAAATTCGTATTTTGCGAAATTGCCAGGCGCTTCTCTTTTATTGAGGGTGGCGATGTTAGCAGTTTTTAAGGCTCATCCAGTGCATATATTGAATCTGAGGATACACTGACTTGTAAAACTGTTGCTTTTTGAAACATAAATAATGACAACCTTTCAACTTAAGCCAATTTGTCTGAATTGTCTCCTGAAGTTGGTGATTACTCAATGTTATGTCTAGCGGTTGTAACCAAACAATAAAAGTGGTTGCAGAAAATTTTTTTAGAGTAAAGTAGAAAAGGAATGGACTTCGTAAGAATGCTTATTTGGAAGTTATACCCTGAATTATACTTTCTTTAGAGTTGCAGCTTAACTACAGCTTAAACATTATTGATTCTATATTAAGATATGTAAAGCCTACATTAGATTCTGGGGTTCGATCTACTTGCCTGACATCTTAACTTATGCCTGATTCAGCAGTTACGATTAAGATTTCTTTGTGCCCAGCCTACAAGTTTATTGAACCATGTTTTTATTGGTTGATGGGGTTAAATCTTCTCAGGCTGCAGTCTCTATTTAAATGTTGAGTTTGGAAGACAGCTTCTTCCATTAAACTACAAACCTAAACCTTATCTGCTCAACTAAATTTCATTATCCTATTATCATTAGCATCACCATCATCATGATGGGTCTGCAATTATCTTGGCATGTGTTTTCCTTTCCTTGATTATTGTACTTGTTATTGCTTGTAATGCATCTAAAATGTGGTTGTGGTTTGCCAGTTCTGATTTGGCAATTCTTCATTCTTTATGTTATTATCTGTTCTGTTTGACAATTTGTCTTCCTTCTTGATTTAACCTTATTCAATCAGGTTGCTGTTGCTGTGGATTTTAAAGATCAAGCTGCAGAACAACAGACAATGCAGCAGAATCTTCAAAACATCTGCCTAAAAACAGGAGCTCCTATGGAATCTCATGCTGCCTCTATCCTCACCCCTTTTGCCTTCTCTAAGCTTCAAGAACAACTAGTTTTAGCTGCTCACTATGCATCATTTCAGCTGGACGATGGCTTTCTTGTACGACATCATACAAAACTCGAGGGAGGCCGGAAAGTGTATTGGGTTCCTCGAGAAGGCATTATAAGTTGCAGCTGCCATCAGTTTGAGTTCTCTGGAATTCTTTGTCGGCATGCCCTTCGAGTTCTCTCAACTGGAAATTGCTTTCAGATTCCAGAGAGATATCTCCCTCTCCGCTGGAGACGGTTCTGCACATCACCTGCAAAGCTTCCGCATAGTTCTTCAACTGATCATACAGAGAGGATTCAGTTGTTGCAGAGCATGGTATCAAGCCTTGTAGCAGAATCTGCCAAGTCAAAGGAGAGGTTGGATACTGCTACTGAGCAAGTCTCTATTCTTTTATCTCGCATAAGAGAGCAGCCAGTTACATCACAAGGTGTGCGAGATATTTCCCCCTTTCATAGGAATCTTTGACTCGAAACTAAACAGTTAGCATACTCTGCATTCCAGACCCTCTGGTACCGGAGAAGGCTAATGACAAATTTTTGATAGGGTCTTGTGGGGGTTTAGAAATGCAAGAGCTGATAAAGGGTTCCGCCTTTGTATACTAAATTTTGTAGTTGTGTTACATGCAATCGAAATATACAAATTGCATCTCCTAGGCAGTGTTTTGCCTATTCTTAGGCAGTGTTTTGCCTATTCTTAGGCATCATTTTGCATGACCGCTCACAGACGGAGGGAAGCAGAGAGCATGTTATTGAGGATTTTTGCATGTAAAATATATACATAGGAAGGAGCTTATCTTGTATAATATTCATGCGTTTTTGCTTCAGAAAAAAAATGTATGCCCATATTGATTTTGTCTAATAGCATAAGATGAAATGTTCTAATCTGTTTGGCTTAGTTTTTTTTCAGTTTATTTACTTTTAAAAACAAAAATCAGGTCAAACAGGGTTTTTAAGGAGCTTTTGAAAAAAAAGTAATTTTATTTTAAAGAACAAAATTTAAAAAAAAAAAGCATAAAGAAAAGAGAAAGATGTTTTCTCTTTTCTTTTTTTAAAATATATCAATTTTTTAAAAATACTTCTCTTTCAATCAATTTCTCTTTCCTCCTCTTCTTTGTGCAAATCACTATTCTCTACACTAGAGATGGTAATGGATACCTTATTATAAAATACCTACAGATATCCGATTCAATTATACCAAGTAAGTAAGAGTCCCTTATAATCAAGTTTAGGACCAATTCGGGTAATGATTTCACTCCTATATCTAGTTCGGATAAGGTTCAGGTACTATCCCTTGGGTACCCACTACTCGAACTTTGATTATGTTAACATTCGGGTTACACGGCGTCGACCTCGAACTTAATCTCAATATCCGTTTATATATATTTTATTGTTATTTAAATTATAAAATTAAAAATAATCAACGTTAATATATTTATTAAAAATTGATAAATCTATTAAGAAGTATAGTTACTCCAATTATTAATGTGATGTTATTAATATATTTAAATTAAAAAATTATTAGATTATTAATTA